GTACCCATCACAGACCGTGACAGAGAACCCTGGGTACCCATCACAGATCGTGACAGAGAATCCGGGTGCCCATCACAGACCATGACAGAGAATCCGGGTACCCATCACAGACCGTGACAGAGAATCCGGGTATCCATCACAGACCGTGACAGAGAACCCTGCGTACCCATCACAGACCGTGACAGAGAACTCTGGGTACCCATCGCAGACCGTGACAGAGAACCCGTGTACCCATCACAGACCGTGACAGAGAACCCGAGTACCCATTACAGACCGTGACACAGAAATTGTAGTTATAAAGCATCAGATATACGGTCAGCTACAAATGTGTCGTAAGGAAATGCAACAAAAGGATTTCCATTTTATTAGTAACAATAGGTCCATCGTGTTTCACATTTTTAATCCCGCAAGGGATTGCGCTAACAGCTTTTTTTTGTAACAAGCATAAAAAGCCTCTAAAAACATGGTGCATAAAAATGTTTTTTTCATGGAAGAAATCATGTGATTCTAAATAGGGTCAATAACAAATTTAAATACCAAATGTAAGCTCATCGAATTTGGTTTTTGTCAATATTAAATAATAAGGGTTTCGTCAATCTTTCTATATCGAGCATAATAAACTAGAAATTTTTCACAGTATAATTGTGATAACCTATTGTTAATGGGTCATTAAATAAGAAAGATAATTTTTTTAATAAACATTGATTGAAGTATTGCTGTAATAATTACTCAACATGACCCAGTTCAAAAGATAATGTTATTCTTTTTCATTCGGTTCTCTTTTTATCTTTTATGAATATAAATAATGATATGTCTTTCGAATAATAGAGAGCACGGAGCAACTTTCATTTAAACTTTTCTATAGGTCACATTGTCGTTCTCCAAGTACTTTTTGAATTCACTTATCGAATTATATTTCCTTCACTTCTGCCTTGTATTAGAATAAAAGTTTTAAACATGTGTACAATCATGTACAGTGTTGCTTCGTTATTTACAAATTTCATAAATGAAAACAACTGATTCTTTTCAGTCATCAATTTAATCTAATTTTCAAGGAACGACTGGTATTTATGACAGTGAACACTAAAGAGTCATCAACAGAATCAAATGTATTGCTTTTGATGCAGCTCGAGATGTTGTTGCAACATTTATTACCCAATAGTAGATTGCACAGAAAATTCATCGTACTATACGATCTGTTATAGAATGGTGAGAAAAGTTATATGATAATTGTTTTGCTGATTATTCCAAATGTGGTCTTAAACTTCCACTATCAGATGCAAGGAGAAACCTCATTCTCAGTAGAAGTGAGGAAAAAGAAAAAAGCCTTATGTTCTGGTGAAAGAAACTGCAGGCAAACACAAGGCATATGCTGTTTAAATATGAGTTGACAGTTATCATCATAAAGACGGATCAAAGCTGTTTCATATTATTCCAAATACTTTAAAGGCAGAAACTCATATTTTAGACAGGTTACGGTTTTGCGCTTGACTAAAAAGTTGGACTAAAGAAGACTTTCTGCATCTTGCATCATCAAATGAATTTTATGTTTGGATTGTTGCATTGGCGTTTTTATCATTTTCATTGCTAAAAAGTTGCATTGGCTAATTAAAGATAAAGATAAATGTTGGACTAGTCACTATGGGTCCGAATGGGTGTGAAGTAGAGGTAGGTACGGCTGTCGATGCGTGTGACGATACAGTAAACCAAAACATCTACATCGACATTCATACATCGACACCTATACGCCACATTTCTTTCCGTTTCTGAAAGAGGAACAGTATGTAATCGATCGGGATCATCTAATATTTGTTCATGACAAAGCGTCATGCATGTGAACAAATATGGCTCAACATTTGCTTCAGGATAATAGCACAGATTTTTGGGGAAACAACATCCGACTTGCAAATTCACCTGATCTGAATGTAGCTGAACACATTGGAGCAATAATTTAAAATGAACTTGAGCACAAATTGTTACCAGAAACGAAACAACAGTTATGGGGAAGAAACAGTAAAAAGTCGAATTATATGTTTTAACAAAGACGGAGTCAAATACTGATTTATTTGCAACTCTCTTATATTCCTATCAATCACGCTTTCATGCAGCAAAAGATACGAATGAATATCATATTGACTATCGCTTGTATTCGTCAAATCATCAAACCTAAATTTACTTGATGCCTTCCATCATTTTGAATAAGATTTATTTGGAACACTCTCATGAAAGAATTTTTTTAAATATTGAAATATCGAATATGTCCAGAAACTTGTTATATTCAATATCAAAAGATTGGCGAACTTCTTACTGCTTAATGCCGATAAATTCTAATTTTAATGCGCTTTCATTTGGTATAGAACTTGTTATTGGCTCTATTATGATTCACAGCATGATCTCCGTGGAAAACCATTTTTATGCACCATGTTTCTAGAGATTTGTTATGCTTGTTACAAAAAAATGCTAGAAGCCTTACGATTTAATACTGAAGAATCCAATATTCGATGCCCTTTCATTTGATACAAAATATATTATTGGTACTGTTTAAAACCAAAATGTTACTCTCGTGGAAAAACATGTTAATATACTCTATACACATATGCATACAACTTCACAGTTAGCCTATACCTCTTTGCCTAGTAACTTCCATTTTTTCAGAAGCTTGTGGCACATTTTAAAAAAATATGCTCATCAAATCTCACTGACACAATTCGTAATCGAAGTAAACTGAAAAAAACTTACCAGAGGCCCCACAATACCACCAATCTGGCCGATACCCACCACAAAGCCAAGACTAATCGCTCGTTTCGTACGTCCACCCACGTTGTTCGTTAGCCAAGATAACAAGATAACATAGGCAGAAAATGTTCCACAACATGCTATATATGTACTAATATAGGTTGCGACTTTACCGTGCTCTATCAGTGTCATCATCAAAATGAAGCCGAGAAGAGCGACGGACATGGAAAACATCAGATGAATGGAATGTTCGTTCCAATATGATGAAGAATAACCGACCACCAGACACGATAGAAACGCGATAGTGTACAAAGGCGCCATCATTAGGTGAGCTTTGGATGCTGAGTTCTCGATGCCTTCGATCAGAGACGGAAGAAAATTGGAAAGAGTAATGAAAGCAGTCGAAATACCCATACAGATCAAACTATATAAATAAAGTCGCCAGTCAAAAAATGCATGCTGCACTTGGATCCATGAGAGACGTGTGTTTCGTGATGACTCACTGTTTGCCATGCCCTCATCCTCTTGGAGAATAGTCGTGAGCAGCGCCCTTTCACAATGATCCAACCCTAAATTTGGAAAGAATTAAGAGAAATTTGATTACTACTTTTCTTCTCATTTACATTGAACTGTCTCAGGTATGTTTGCGAGGAAGAAAAAGGTGATAATACCGAGTGGAATAATCGGTAGACTTTCCAGCAAGAATATCCATCGCCAGCCTTCAAGACCAGCCATGCCATTCATTCGAATGATACCATAGGCCTACAAATAGTTGAATTATTTTTGAAAACTTTATCATCTATTAATATGGTTAAAGAATATGACAAGGTGATGTTTGTTACGAGCATGCACACTAAGTTAAAATGTGTCGGATGTGTCGTGGTTTACGACACAATGCACGACACATTAAAGCACGACACGAGGTGCTCGTTGCGACACATTTTCACCAGCAAGACCACGACACATTTTTTACGACACATCCGACACATTTTTAATTGGTTCTTTTGAAAAAGCATTTTTTGATTCTTTTTTCAATTTATTTCCATTTATTTATTGATATTCTGAACAATTCAGACAGGTCCTATCCTGAGATCTGGCCGATCTCCAGCCGGTCCGATTTACATCAGACCATTTCAGGCTAGTCCTCCCTCGATCGTGGATAGAAATTGGCATTTTCTCGATTAAAAAATGATCGAGAAACAATCTAGAAAAGAAGAATGTTTCGAAAACTTATCTTTCGTACGTTCAATCGCGTTGTTTATATATCACAATGTGCGCGTAACAGAACGGTGAATGAATAGTCGACAGACAGAACGCGACAAATTCATATACGACACATACCAGGCACGACACTTTTTCGTGCTGGAGCACACAACACAATAAATCACGACACATAAACACGACGCATTTAAACTTAGTGTGTGCACATCATATGCCTTCACACGTTCCCTTGCTATTAATATTTGTTTTGTACTGTCCACATCCTTTGATTATTTTTCCTCATTGAATCTATTTTTGTCTTGATTCATTCTGATGACAGCGAACAATACGAAAGGAATCAATAAATGCGGAAACTGTAGATTTAAATCCGAGAGTTATGTGTACTTCAAAAAGTGAATTAGACAGATGAGTCATCCTAGAATATGTGGATATCAAAATTATACTGGGAAACCTTTCCTATAAACTGTTTATTTCTGTTGGCTATTGATCCATCAATAGGGCTGAGAGGCGAATAGAGCTCAAATTTGAACTCTTCGCCTTGATTTACCCTGAGAAAGTCGTTTTTCCTATAACTTGATTTCTATTGGTCACTACTCAACCAATAGTATTTCAAGGCAAGTGCAGTACGGATTCGCGTTCTCCGCCCCAGAAAACCTCAAAGTATCAACTCTATGATCGGAAGATAGAGCTTGAATTGTGAGTCAATTAGATGGTGGACAAAAACGGAACCTATTTCCGTTTAATTATCTTTGTAATAGGTGAGTTAGCCTTCTCGTTCCTTTATGTTTTATATACTATTTTGCAGCTCGTGAAATTCTCTATCGAATGGCATATAATAGTTGGGATTTTTGTTTGACTATGATGAGAAAAGTCTTTTACGAAACCTAGGATGAGTCGATTTTCGCATAGGAAGCCATGGGGAAAAATGACTATTTTTGCAATAACTCACGAATGCCTCGGCCGATCATGCTCATCTTCGAACTCGACCGAGACATTGTTAAGACTAAACTGTGTAGAAAATTTCATCGTGATCTGACTCTCCTTTCAAAAGTTATCGTGTAAACGGACGGACAAACTGACCGATTCTAGAGTGTACTCACTTTTTGAGTACACAAAAAGGAACATTCTGCTAATGGCCATGGTGTTAAGAGCAGCTTTTATTACATCGAAACAAAAATACGCGAATACTGACCAAAATGCCACTAGCAGCACCGGCAATAATGGCAGCGCCAAAGAAGATGGCCATTCTCATAGCTTGTTCTCTTTTGCGATACCAAAAAGAAATATAGATGATGATTCCGGGAAAGACACCAGCTTCAGCCAAACCCTTTAACGAGAATTGTACAATGGATCATCATTTTCCTTTTCTTTTATCCCAAGTCGCTTACAAGTAGAAATCGAAGGGCTAGCAGCACTTTGATATTCTTTACAAAAGCCATACCCATAGTAAATGCCCCCAATGCAATAAGACTCAACGACAAATGAGAGGTCGGTCGAAGAAAGCGCTGAAGAATAACACTTGGAATTGCAAAGATCAACTGCTTAAAAGATGCGATAGAACAATTCGAAAAAAACAAACTTTTCTTACATATGCTACATAAAAGAGAGATACGAGCCACATACTCTCCGTTACCGATATGTTGAGATCTTGTTTAATACCGGTTAATTGGATATTACCTAAGTGAATATCAATATTAATATTTGACTTTTTCTGACAAGAACACTTACCCAAGCTAATACGGTTTATGTACGAACAGAATTCGAGAACAAAAAAGAATGGCATGAGTCTCCAATCAAGCTTTCGAATGAGAAGACGAGTGGCATTGGCTCTATTTTGATGTTCAATGGCTTCATCAATAATAGGATGAGGGATTTCATCGGTAACGGGACAGGAGAGCTTATTAACAACAGAAAGAGGCATGCCCTCGGTCGTTGCAGACACTTGTGATGATTTCGTCGCCATCCCTATTCCCCTAAACATTTTATCTTTTATGTCTACTGGCTTCAATGGAAAATTTCTCTCAAATGTGTGTATTTTTTCATGAGCAATAGTCTTACTCTATAGCTGAGAGAATGCGAAAGACAAATATATTCGATATGCTACTGAGACGATGATGACTTTTACTTTTAATTGTGATAGTAAAGTACACCGACAATGCTTCTTACTCTTTTCGTCAATTCCGATTTGATTACAACTCTTAGGAAGTGACACGTGCGTTTTCTAAAACGGCAACAACGTGTAACAGGCGATACATGACGATGTGCCAACATGAATCAGAAGGAAGTACATTTTTTACCGATAAGTCATGGGGTGGGGGGGGGGGGGGGTGGGTGTGGGTACGAGAAAACAAGACCCGCACCCTTTTTGTAACTAAAAAGGTCCTCTGAAAGAACCGAAGCGATTTTGAAAATCGGAGAAAGGATTTTCACAATTTTCAAAGCTTAAATGTAGAGTTGAACTCATCGATTTAAAAATTTTCAGCTGAAAACCCCCAGAAATAGACACGTTTCGGGGTAAAAAAACTAATGAAAAACCTCAGTTTTCAAAACAAAGAGTCTCAAATAAATGGGCGGCGGGAGTCTTCTATTACGCGGAACAACTTTTTTTTCCAAAGGGGTCTTTTATTATGCTGGTGTCTTCTATTGGGTTGGCAAGAAAATTTTTGCGTTTTTCTCGAAAATTTTATTTTTATTTTTTACTTTCAAAAGTACAGCTAGCTTTCAACAATGTATGCTCCATCACTGTCGATGACTTGTCACCAAGCCTCTAGCAAAGAAAGGATCCTGCATTCGTAAAAGTCCTGGGGCTTTTGGCTGAAAAAATCGACGAGGTGCGTTTTGAGGTTGTTCTCGTTGTCGAAATTTTTCTCGCGTAAATGATTAAACAGAGAGCGATACAAGTGATAGTCTGTAGGAGCGAAGTCTAAAGAATACGGTGGATGTTGGAGAGTAATCCATCCGAGCTGTAACTGGTTTTTTCGGCGTGAACTTTGCAATGTGGGGTCTGGCATTATCATGTAAAAAGTAAATTTTATCTTGCTTTCCCTGGAGTTTTGCTACAACTTGGTCCAATTGTTGACAATAGAGATTAGCAGTAATTGTACAACCAGATGGAAGAAGTTCCCAATGAATAGTTTCCTTTACTCCCCACTAAATGCTCAGCATAATTTTCTTTGAGTAAAGAGTAGTGTCACATATCCCAAATTTTGGAGATCTCCCGTAGAGATGCCTCATCTCTACCGGAGACACGGCACCCACACTCTGGAGATGTGGTCATTCACTATTGGAAATGTATCGTTTCCCTTAGAGATGCAGATCTCCGACACCTACACTCGTATCTCTCGCAGGAAATGCCGTATCTCCCGCTGAAGATGCGGCGTCTTTACGGAAGATCTCTAAACCTTGAGATATTTGACATTGCTGTATTCGAAAGAGATTCGCGCCCCCTATATATAGTCTTAGTTTGGAAACCTCTACAACTTTCTTGACTGGTCTACGAAATTTTCGAAAAAAACGGAAAAACTTTCTTCCCAACCCAATAATATGGGGGAAGGAGGAGGGAGGGAGGGAGGGAGGGAGTATTTACTTCTATAGGGTTTTAATGGAGGTTCGTAGTACATATGTGTAAAGTACAGTTTTCAGCGATCGTCCAAACTGTTTGCTCTGTTTCTCCATTTGTTTTGACACTATGAAAACTGCAAGAGACATGGAGCAAAAAAGTACAGAATCACTGGTGCTAGGACATTATTACTTTCTAGCACTATAAATGGACTACGAAACCACAGGAGAATGAAACTGCTTTACATTTATCATCGTTTAGTGTGACTAGAAAACGGACAGTGAAATTTCAGAGCTAGAGGTACATCGAAAGCATCATGTTTTTCTAGCGGTCTTTGTGCTTATTTTTTTCCCTTGAGAAAGCTCTAATGAGTTCTACCTTCATCATAGAGTATTAAACACATATATTAAGGAGGATACGATTTTTCCCAGACCTACTGTCTCGAATTTGGTGGGTTCCACAAACAGAACTATGGTACAATTAAAATTATTCTCTAAGGATGCAATATTCCACGCATATTCCTCGTCAAAATTCACTTAAAGAGAGCTTTTCTTGACAATTTTATAAAGCCGTTGTATTGTTTGCAGCTTTAAATATAATTTTTAGTGAGGTCAAACCTCTTCATATACTGAAAAAGTACAATTTTGAATGTTTTTTTACTATTTTCGAACTTATAAAATTTATTCACAATTTTTACAACTCATGCTTCTTAAAATGACTTTACAATAGTGCGAGTCGCTCAATACGAAAAAATTAGATTTTGGCACTTAAGAGAGGGTTCGCGAGAGGACCACCCTACTCTCCATATAGGTTGCCGGAGAAAAAAATTTTTTCTCCGATTTCGTTTTTTTAAATGATAGGTCTAGGTAAACTATAGTTAAATCCAAAATATTAGGTCATTTGGTTTTATCTATGAAAAATGCGAGCTAAAACAAGTTTAAGGCGGTCTATTTTGGCCCTAAAATGCTGCTAAAAATGGGTGTGCTCAGTATTTTGACATTTTCTCATGAATAGTGTGACCGTTTGAGATCGGGTATCTCTCATTAGATAGAGAACAGTATAGGCTATGAATTTATCCTATTTTGATGATTCATATATATGATAAAAGAAACACTATAGGTCAAAAACCTTCCAAACCTCAAGAAATCCTACACTCTAGGATAGCAGTATTTTGGGTTTTTCCTGGGTGGTGCAAGCGGTGTCAAACTTCTTTTTTAACTAGACATAGATCTCTTCAAGATACATCTTTTGACATTAAATTGTCAAGACGAAAAAACTCGAGGGCCAATTAGCATGGACCATACTGTGACCTATCCTCTCTAGCCACCATTGGCCCTACCCCACAAAGTCATACAATTTCTATAGAAATCATGAAAACGGATTTCAGATTCGTATTCAGCTTGAAAAACTGGACTAGATAGGTTATATTAGATTGATCTCTTACTTGTACCAAGTGTGCTGAATATCATGGGTCCACTTCATGGATATATGATAGATATATGCAAATGTGTTTTGATAATAATTTACCAATACTAATAGCTATTGAGTTCAGATTTTTACCATTCTATAACCCTTTTTGAAAGCTACAAAACTATATATTTTCCAAGCTTATAACTCTTGATCACCTTAGCCTTACCCAGAGATATTGGTCTCGGAGCACGATTTTACACATTTTTGTCCCCTATTTAGCCAGTTTTCCGTTATAAAACAACAATTTGAATCAAAACCAATGTCATATTCAGAATCAGCGTTAAAAACTGAGTCGATTCATGTATATTTCAAAGTTTTATGAGAAAAAATTTTTTTCTATGAAAAAATGACCCTGTACTCCCCCCTCAGGGTTCATGAAAAAATGATTTCTCTTAAAAATGCCATTTATCGTGTGGAATGAAATAGCCAAGCTTCTCTAATTTCAACAAAAGTAAAATAGCAAAAGACTTAACGACAAAAGCGCTATTTTGAGGGAAATCATTTTTTCATGAACCCTGAGGGGGAGAGTACAGGGTCATTTTTTCATAGAAAAAATTTTTTCTCATAAGGCTTTGAAACATACATGAATCGACTCCGTTTTTAACGCTGATTCTGAATATGACATTGGTTTTGATTCAAATTGTTGTTTTATAACGGAAAACTGGCTAAATAGGGGACAAAAATGTGTAAAATCGTGCTCCGAGACCAATATCTCTGGGTAAGGCTAAGGTGATCAAGAGTTATAAGCTTGGAAAATATATAGTTTTGTAGCTTTCAAAAAGGGTTATAGAATGGTAAAAACTCGAACTCGATAGCTATTAATATTAGTGAATTATTATCAAAACACCGTTACATGTATCTATCATATATTCATAAGGAGGACCCATAATCTTGAACATGCTTGATACAAGTAAGACATCAATTTAAAATAACCTATCCTACCCAGTTTTGTGAGCTGAACACGAATCTGAAGTCAGTTTCCATGATTTCTATAGAAATTGTATGACTTTGAGGGGTAGAATCAATGGTCGCTAGGTAGAGTAGCCCATAGTGTGGTCAATGCTAACTTGGTCCTCGAGTTATTTCATCTTGATAACTTAATGTCAAAAGATGTATCTTGACGAGATCTATGACTGGTAAAAAAAGAAGTTTGGCACCGCTTGCACCACCCAAGAAAAACTCAAAATACTGCTATCCTAGAGTGTAGGATTTCTTGAGGTTTGGAAGGGTTTTGACCTATAGTGTTTCTTTTATTATATATATGAATCATCAAAATAGGATAAATTCATAGCCTATACTGTTCTCTATCTAATGAGAGATGCCCGATCTCAAACGGTCAAACTATTCATGAGAAAATGTCAAAATACTGAGCACACCCATTTTTAGTAGCTTTTTAGGACAAAAATAGACCTCCTTAAACTTGTTTTAGCTCGCATTTTTCATAGGTAAAACCAAATGACCTAATATTTTGGATTTAACTATAGTTTACCTAGACCTATCATTTAAAAAAACGAAATCGGAGAAAAAAAGTTTTTTCTCCGGCGACCTAGAGTGGTCCTCTCACGGACCCTCTCTTAAGGTCCGTGAAAACCTTTTTCAATCTTTCAAAACTTCAAGTCTTCCAGAACGTGTTTAATTTCATTCTTGTTCTTTTGAATAACGTAATACTTATCAATTGCGGAGGAAATGTTGAGTCACAATGGCTGTTCATCAAGGGAAATAATGCACGTTTGAAGGATTTTGAAATTTTAAAA